ACTCCTCACCAATTCCGTCCGTTTACTTTGTGTGCGTGGGGTTTTGGTTTTTGTTGGCAATTTTTTATTTCTTTTTAAGTCGTTCGCCAGTGACATCATGAAGCTTTGATGTGGAAACCTCCCTGGCCATGTGCCGAGCAGCACACACAGGGAAGAGGGACAGAGTCCCAAAGCCCTGGGTGGGGCTCATGGGCCTGAACACTCTCAGGGACCAAGTGCACGGGGTGGGGGTGTAGCATTCGAGGAGGCGACTGTGGGCTGGGGCCCTGGGGAGGGGGTCCTGGGAGACAGGCAGGCAGGCAGGCAGGCAACTGAGCCCCACAGCCCCCACCCCCAAATCTTTCTGCTCTATCCCTGGCCTCTCCTTGGCGTTCTCCCACGTGTTGTCTCATGGTCTCCCCTCTTCTGAGGTCAGGCTGCTCCTTCTCTTCTCGCTGCCACCACCTGTAGCCTGACTCTAGGCTCAGGTGTGCACAGGTACACATGTGCACACACCCCTACTCAGGTGTCCACAATCAGGCACGTGTGGCCCATGTTCCCAAGTGTCTTCTGCATTAACAAGATCAAGGCCGGAGGTGATGGCCACAGAGGCTAATGGCATAAAAACCTGATGAATTCATTGACCCTGCACTGTGTAGATGTGTGATCCTGGGGCGCTTCATCCTCGCCCATGAAATCCTACCGGAGGACAGCTGAGCATTTGATGTGACCCGTTTGGACCTTTTGCAAGCCCGAGAGCATCCCCAGGTCAAGCAAGGAAGACAGAGAGTAAACTGAACTTAGCCCGTTCTTTAAACAGCACAAGAAATTTTCTTTTAAGACCTACCTTGCCCCAGACCTTGACGGTTCACTGCTTCTCAGACTTGTGTGCGTGTCACCAGGGGAGCTTGCGGACACACTGATGTCTGTTTGGAATGTTTAGAAGATCCCCAAGTCATTCAGTCGTGCAGGCAAACTTGGGGACCACTGATTTCGTTCAAAGTAAAGTCTTAGTGTCAGTGTCGGATTATTCACATCTGGGGACTCCCAGAGATTCATGGACAGCTAAAGCCCTGGACGCCCAGACTCTGTCTTATTCCTGATAAGACTGTGATGGAACTTTCTTCCCAGAGAACATAAAGGATGATTCCTATCACTGCAAATCTTGAATAAGTAGATTCTGTCTTGTGAGTGTTTTTATTAAGAGAGCAGTTCCAAAACCTTATCGCAGGCCCTAAGATTGAAAAATAGAGGCCGTGTACTTTTAAGAAGAAAAGGACAGGCAGGTGTTGTGGATTCCTTGTATGACTGGCTAGCCACTCCATCCCCACCAGAACTGAAACCTGGCTCTATACTACTAATAAAAATTCAGCATTCTTTGAGTGTTTCTCCTAAAAAAGCTTTTTGCATAAATTAAACCGGACAAATGTATTTTAATGAACAGATGGCATTTTAATAAGAAAGCTCTTTTTAAATTAGCTCATTTTATTAAGGGTTTAATAAGTAAAAATAATGTTGCAGAGAGTTATCCAGTAAAAGCCCCAACCAGCCTGGTCTACAGAAAAAGCTTTAGAAATAGGCAGATGGAATTTCACCAAAGAAAACATCCCCAGAGTGATAAAATTTTCCTTCAGATAGAAAGTGTTCGGGAGAGGAGCAGATCCCTGCTAGATAAAAATGGATGCACCAAACAGTGTTTATAAAAATCCTATCTCTGTTTGATGTCTGGGCTTGGCAGTGATTATAGAATCTGCACATTCCTTTTTTCTCTACTAGAACCAGACCCGATTTTTTCCATGCCAAGCACACGTGCTAGGAAACTTGAGCTAACAGGTGTGTGTTCACTGTTTCTGCCTGAGCCAGAAGTCAGGAGTTGCAGCCGATCTCCTGAGTTCAGGGCTTCATCACCTTGTCTGCTCCTGCAGGAAATGAGTGTTTCTGATCACGAGTGACTCAGAAGTTGCCTTTCCTTCTGGAGGTACCTACTACTATCCATGCAAGAACTGGAATGATTGGTTAATTGTTTAACAATCTCAGGTCTGCCTGTGCAGAGAGGCAAGAAAGAATCTGTTTGATGTTTGACTGCAAGGAATTCACTGCCTGGGAAGAACTGGTTAACCAGTAAGAAAAGTTTATCATTTCATGTTCAAAATTCAGGGGTAGAGTGGTACTGGAGTTGGTTAATTTCATGACATAATTATTCCATCAAAGACATACATTCTGCTGCTGCTGCTGTCCTCAGTGTTTTGCTTTGCTCCTGTGTTCCTGGTTGCAAAATGGCTGCTGCAGCTCCATACATCGCCTTTGCACTCATCAAAGTTCAAAGGCTGTAGACAATATATCCCTTCTTTTGTGTGTGTGTTTATTTTGTAAGAGTGAAGAATACATCCCTAGGATTCCAGAGCAGTCTCAGTTTCTGTGACCATTGCCAGCGCTGAGTACTTCCAGCCTTCCCAGACGGGCCATATAACCCACGTCCTGTGTGGTGTTCCTAAACCGCACTAGCTATAAAATTCTCTTCTTGCCATGAGCTAGGATCTTAATAACCTTCCAGTGCTACCCAGCAAGCTGCCCAATATCCAATAACCATAAACTCTGGGTGTCCAGGAGGAAAGTGGACTCGTATTGGGGCGTTTACCACTGTCTTCTAAAGAAAACTATGGCAGATATCCTGCCTTCCTCCTAATCTTCCTGTGCCTTAAATTTGACTTTCCAGCTAAGTGAAATACAGTTTTGTTACAGAGTTCAGAATACACTTGAAATTTACTTCTGGCAAAGTAAATAGACATTATAGTTGATTTTTCTTAGTCCTAGATGATCACCCTGCCTTAAATAGGTGCCTGTGGGCATTCGCAGCAACTGTTTCTCCTTAGGAAAGAATGCGCTGAATTTGTGCAGATGGGCATCGATACACACAAATGATATTTGTTGCTTGAACAAAATGCTCACTTACTGGAGCTTTTAAAGGTTGTTGGTACCTTCATGGAACGCAGATTATATTTTCAATAATGATTTTTGTTGGCAAAGCAAGTCAATTAGACTTTTGTTCATTTGGAGCAAGAGGCAACTTTGTTCGTTTAATATATACAATTAAATTGAGTTGAGATCTACTTTAAATGAAAATTGAAAACAAATTAAGTCATCAGTCAATGTAATGATTGTGGTTACAGCTCTTGTATATATTTGGATAAGTTAAGGGGTGGGGGAAAGTCTGTTCAGCATTGCTGGGCATTTTATTTTATTCCTGGGGTAAAAAATAGTGAGCTGGCAACATTCGAAATGGGCTATAAAATATTACATAGAATGACAATGTGTTGTGATGTTTGTGTGAGTCCTGCATCTGTTGCCAGGAGATCAAGTGTAATCAGGTAACATGAGTATCCGCTGGAATTGACCATCCTCAGCTTTAGTGAGTGAAGCTATTTGTGGGTTCTTTGTTAATCTTTCTTATTAACCTTGAGCAGTTCCTTTTAATTGAACTTTTGAAAACATTTGTATTAATAAATGGCCTTTGGTAGATTACGGCTTCTTGAAATTTGACATTTGTAAAGGTAATGCTGATCTTCCTCTCATTACAAATTATTCCCTTAATTTTATGACTCTGGAATGGCTGCCAGCGACTTACTGCCTCGCAAATGATGGTGTTAGGAAAGAAATGATTATGTTTCATATTTAATAGATTTACTAGTGCTGACCTGGGCTTCGTGCATAAGCAGATGAGTTCCCAGGGGTGTTCTGAAGATGATTGGATCTCTGGTTAAAGTTGCAAGAATTAGGCTGTTTTTATGAAATGTAAATCCTGGACTGTTTTCTTTCAGAGTTAACTACACACGATTCAGATTTTGAATGTCGTTCTCATTCAAGTTGGGATGGCAGGGCCAGACCCTGCATACACGGCACGCCGTTTCAACACCGCGCTGAAATTGCAGCGAGCAATAAATCGGCTTTCTTTCTTCCTTATCTCTTAAAATTATGCATTGGAAAAGTTTGACTTTCCATTATCTCCCCAACCTATTTTTTGGCTCAACTGTATTAAAAAATGAATTAACGAGGTATGGCAAATACCAGCCAAATTTGTTCACTGAAATTTATTCTGGAAAGTAATTTGCTGTCTAAGTGTATCTTTTGCAAGTTGCGGATACTAGAAACTGTCTATTTAGTGTAGTTATTGCTCAGGACGCTCGGCTGCCAGTAACACAAGTGTAAAGTATTTGCGCGAAGTGCAATTTCCTGGCTTAGCTAACAGCGCCTTCTGGGGGTCCCTGCGTCGGGCTGGCTGGACGCGGGGGGTCAGGCAGGCTCAGAGTCATCTTTGGCTTCGACTCTCTACCTGCCCTCAGCAAGAAACCTCGGGGAAACCTGGAGCCCCTTCGCATTAAGTCACAGTCCAGGTCCCCTGGGCGTCAGGATTTCTCAATGAGGAGGAGGCTGGTGGCGCAGGCCATTTCAGGGCCGGCGCTGCAGCAGCATCCACAAGGATTTAAAAAAATTTTTGAAAAGTGTGTAATGTGGGTCGGGTGTAGCTTGGCATTTTACTCACATTTTTCATGAGTTTCTAACTGGGTGGTGAACACTCGCACCACCACGGCGCAGGAGAAGACTGCAGCGCTGCGGTGGGAGTTTCTCAATTTATCTGATCAGCAGACGCCTCTGAGGCACCGGTTTCAAATTAAGGAGCAGGCTGGTGCTCAGGACGGCCTCATGGGGAGGCCTCAGGTGGGAAACAGGAATTTGTATTCTTAACGCTTGCCTCAGGGGGGCTGAGAATCACGCTTGTTTAGCGCATCTGGGTGGATGGAGGTGAAGAGCAAGCCCTGGGTGAGGGTGCGGGCGGGTCCAGGCGGACGCAGACCCCAGCCCTGGCAGGAGCTAGGGCAGGATCTGCGTGCACCCGGGTCTGCCCTAGCTCCTGCCAGGGCTGGAGACCCCTCAGGTCTCGCGCGGCTGTTATAACGGTTGTCACTGAGCCTTGCTCTGCTCCTGAGTGATGTGCTGCTGTCCTTCTTCTTCCTCACGTGCAGATAGAGGACATGCAGTGGGGGCGAGGCGTGCGGGAGATCCCCTCCTCCGTGTGCACGCTGCCCTGCAAGCCCGGGCAAAGGAAGAAGACGCAGAAGGGCACCCCGTGCTGCTGGACCTGCGAGCCTTGCGACGGCTACCAGTTCCAGCTGGACGAGCTGACCTGCCAGCACTGCCCGTACGACCAGCGGCCCAACGAGAACCGCACCGGCTGCCAGGACATCCCCATCATCAAGCTGGAGTGGCACTCCCCCTGGGCCGTCATCCCCGTCTTCCTGGCCATGCTGGGCATCGTCGCCACCATCTTCGTCATGGCCACGTTCATCCGCTACAACGACACGCCCATCGTGCGGGCCTCGGGGCGGGAGCTGAGCTACGTGCTCTTGACCGGCATCTTCCTGTGCTACATCATCACGTTCCTGATGATCGCCAAGCCCGACGTGGCCGTGTGTTCCTTCCGGAGGGTGTTCTTGGGCTTGGGCATGTGCATCAGTTACGCGGCGCTCTTGACCAAGACCAATCGGATCTACCGCATATTCGAGCAGGGCAAGAAGTCAGTGACCGCCCCGAGACTCATCAGCCCCACCTCACAGTTGGCCATCACGTCCAGCTTGATATCGGTGCAGCTCCTGGGTGTTTTCATTTGGTTTGGCGTGGATCCCCCCAACATCATCGTGGACTACGATGAGCATAAGACCATGAACCCTGAGCTGGCCAGGGGCGTCCTCAAATGTGACATTACAGATCTGCAGATCATCTGCTCCTTGGGATACAGCATCCTGCTCATGGTCACGTGTACTGTGTACGCCATCAAGACTCGGGGTGTCCCGGAGAACTTTAACGAGGCCAAACCCATTGGATTCACTATGTACACGACGTGTATAGTGTGGCTTGCCTTCATTCCAATTTTTTTTGGCACCGCCCAGTCTGCGGAAAAGGTAAGAGAAAAGACACACCACGCCATGCATGTCAAAAATGGGTCGTTTTGGTAAATACGGAAACCGAGTCGGCGGTAGCGAGCGAGAGGTGGTGTGTAGGCAGCACGGTATTCTTCTGGAATTCCCTGAAGTAGAGAAGTCTTGAGTTATTAGGCCTCGAGGCCGTGCAAGTCTCAAGTCTAGCACCTGCAGAGACCCGTGTCTCAGTGAGGGCGCCAGCCGGCGGGAGACCCTCTGCCCTGTTATAGAGTGATCTGATGTAGCAGATTATTCAGCACATCACTCATCTACCTAAGTCCTGCCTTCCTGTCCATCCGTTCCTCCCTCTCTACTTACAGGCCTATTTCTTTGGGGTGGGAGAAGAGGGCCGCTGCCCCTTTCCTAGGATGGGCCTGGGATGCTCACCTGTAGCTGCCATAGGGCTGCTCTCTCTGCCTTGCGAGTGGCCGTCGAGACCTGCGCTGTGCACTGGGTCTGCTCCGGGACCCATACAAGGCATCGCCCCATTGCATACAGCACGTATATTTCAAATTTATAATACATGTTTACTGTCTGAGAAGCCAACCTGAATCTCATTTTATTGCTCCTATCTATCCCTGGGCCCGGGGAGTCGTAAAAGATGAGTTAGGGTCTGAAATGCAGGAGAGGGGAGAAGAAACACATCCCCGGTGACACAGGTAAGTTGACAGCCATTGCACTTTTTATGGGGGGCGCCGTGCACCATCACAACCTTTGGAGATAATGATTATTTTCTTAATAAAACCAGCACAATTCCCCACGCCGCAGGTTACAGACATGCCTTCCCTTTCTTGCACGTTTATTCTTGCGGAATGCGGAAGGGGGGCATGCTCGCTTTTGTTTCCTAGGCGAGCCTTGCTGGAATGCACAGCTGGCAATACAGGTCACTACCGTTTCCATTTCCATGGCTAGCTATTTCTAGTCCTATCAGCGAATCTTCTAGAAAAGGTCAGGAACCTAAGTTTATTGGCTTAAAAACTGGAAATGTTACAGGTTTCAGGAATGTGTTCACCACTTGGTTTGTTCTGGAAGATGCTGTGCCACGAAGACTAGACTCCGGAGGAAGCGCAGCTGTGCCAGGCAGCCTGCCTTTCACCCCAGAGCTGAGCATGACCTTCTCTCTGTCCTCTCAGCGGTGTGCGATGTTCACACAGGGGATTTGCACAATTGAAGGTGCCGACTTGCAAAACAGGAGCTGTGAGTTGCTCCATGAAAAAGCAAGTCCTGGGGCTGGGCATGGGGCTAGAGAAGGTTGAGTGTGAGCAGGTGGGACACACTTTATGCACACGAGACTGTGGATTCCGCTTGCAGAAGGTGGCAGATTGTCAAACGCAGCTATGAGCTCACCGCAAAAAGCATCGGGCCAGCGGCCACAGACAGAAGGCGCCTCTGTTTTTATTTAGATTGAACATTTTAAGTGTTTCAAGTGGAAGAATTCCATTGTAGCAGGGGAAAGAGATTAGGCAGCAAGTTCAGTAATAACTATTTACTGTTTCAGGAAATTGAATTCATTTTTATTATGCCAGGGATATCTTTGTGGAATTCCCATCAGTTGAGTTCATTAACATGGTGTAAAGGAGAAGAAATGCTTATTTTCTTGCAAAATATCAACCCTCGATGTTTGTTTTTGCTTCTGTTAAGAAGGATGCAGGTGGTTGTTCTTCTCTTGTTTTATTACGACCCTGTGACTTCTCGAAGGAAGGTTTTTGCAAGATGGCCAGGGGTCAAAGAGAATGAATTCTAGACGTTGGGGGTTTTACTTCGGTGTCTGCAAGGATTCAGGGTAATGCGCAACAGCCAACAGCGAGTCCTGGCCCAGTGAGACAGGGCTGCACCCCATTGTTCCCTGCTGCTACCGTGGGGTGGCCAACTACACCGTTCTCCAGGAAAAACAAAGACTTGGCCTGTGGCTGTATGTACCTAGCAGGGCATTGCACCTGTACCTGGAAAAGAGCAGGCTTCAGGTAGGGAGGATGCAGGCTCCCACGGGAGCCCGTCAGGTGCTCTGTAGCTGAGGCTTTTCCCCCCAAAACCTTGGGGACTGGGGGCAGAGCCTTCATGATCAATACCGCGGCTCCCACTGACGATTTAGATGACCTTGCCCTTGCCAAACCTTCACACTGTGCTTGTCTCCACCCTGAGACATGAGGAGAGAGGATAGACTCTTGGCGGAAAAAGAGGGGGTCAGAGCTGGTAACCAGCGGTACCCCCTTTCTGTTCCCTTTCAGCATGGCAGTCCTCCCAGTCCCACCCAAGAGCCTCTGGCCCTCAGATCTGACCTGGGAATCACAATCCCACGTCCCTCCTGTGCCACAGGACGGCGGGTGGGGAGGCCGCAGGGCCCAGTGAGTACCCTCTCCCCAAGTCACAGGTGACCCGCCTGTGAGTCTCCAGCAGGACAGTAGTTGGCACACACCCTGGGGATCAGTGAGAGCTGCTTTGGAAGAGTATCTACAGACTAGCAATCCTTTCTATTTCTCCTGAGGATCAAATAGGTCATTGACTTTCGGCTACAGCCAGTTCCTAATGAAACAGCTGGCCTCGGCTGATGGAACTCGGGCCTCGAGGGTCCAGGGGGCAGGCCATCTGCCGGGGCCACGCGCCCTCAGGTGGCCCAGCTTGTTCACCTCTGCCTCGGGTCGCGCTCTGCCCCAGCTCGAGCCACACGGGCTGTCCAGGCCCGACTCGGTCTGGCCATAGACCACTGGCCATAGCCACTGGGGACTCAGTGCATCCGGAAGCAGGAGGTCACAAATCAATAGCGTCCAGTTATAGACTCCCAGAGCGCTCATGAGGAAGGCATCACCTCACTGAACCCAAGCCGCTTCCCGTGCAGGTCTCACACACGCGGGGGCTGGGGAGGGGAAGATGTAAATATTCAGCAGAGAAAGTGTAGGGCAAATGTTATTTTACCTTTTATGTTTAAGTGCCTGTAACATGCCAGACCCTCAGACCCTAACATCTGGGGATCACCTCACGCCCCTGAATTGGAATGGTATTTAAAGTCATCCTTAGAGAGGAGGAGACACAGAGCAAGGGCCGCGGACTCTTACTCACGGGTTCACCCAACCAGCTGATTGCTTCTGTAAAGTTTTATTGGAACACAGCCGCCACGATCATTCATTTACATACTCCCATGTGCACGTCCACGCCAGCGGGGTGGAGTGCGGTGGCAGAGATCGTGTAGCCTGCAAAGCAGAAAATGTGTATAACCTGCACCCTTACCAAAGATGCTCACTGTCCCTGCCCTGGGTGACCCTGTGCCTTCCTCCATCTCTCACCCTCACGCCCTCCCCTGCCCAGGTTCATTCGATCCCGTCTCAGTGATGTCACCTCCTCCCCGAGCACAGGGCCTTTGCGTAGGGGGTGCATCCATCTGGGATGCTCTGGCCTCTTTCTCATTATTCAGGCCTCCCCTTAGACACTCTTCCGAGAGGAGTCTTTTAACTCAGCCATTCAAGCAAAAATGATCCCCAGCCAGGCACGTCCTGCCTCTTCCTGTCGTTCCTCAGTACCTGGTGACCTGACGTCAGTTATTATTCTGTGGGTGTGCTCTGCCTGCGTCACACAGATACCCTGAATGCAAGCACTTGGTCCACCGAAGTCTTGTCTGGATCCCTAATGCTCCTGAACAGGGACTGGCATGGACTTGGGCTTGCGAAATCTCTGTGGGTTGAACGAGTCAATGCATTTTTGGAGTAAGATACAGCCCTTGCCGTCAACAGTTTAGAAGAGAGAACCATGTGAAGTGATATCCATGCGACTGTGTGCCAAACTATGAAACTGCAGGAGAGCAGCTTTATAGCAAGAAATGAGGGAAGCCAGCTTTGCTGGAGACGCAGGCCCACAAAGACCACGAGCAGTGAGCAGATCTGCAGGGCGCCCAGGCGTTGTTAGGCAGACGAAGCCTTTCTAAAGCGAAGGAATTGATTTTGAAAATTACTTATTGAAATTGATTATCCATGAATATATGAAAACGTCCAATCTCACACATCATTTTCAATCTTCAGCATAGTAAAGATGAAGAAAAAAATCTAATAATATGCATGATGGTTAGGATGTAGAAAATTGGATATTCTTGTACACTACAAATGGATGTCTAAATTAATCAAATCTTTTTTTCATTTTGCTTTGACTCTGGCTTTTTACTTCTATTTTCTTCCAATTTTATTGAGATATAATTCACTTATAACATTGTATTAGTATGTGGAGCACAAAATAATGATTCCATATCTGTAGATTTTGCAAAATGATGACCTCAACCAGATTAGTCATATTTTTTTAAATTTTCTTTTGATGAGAACTTTTTAGATTTTATCTCTAGCAACTTGCAAATAGGCACAGCAGTATTGTTTATTATCGTCACCATGCTATGCATGATATCCCCAGGACGGATTTATCTCATAATTGAAAATTTGTGCCTTTGACAATCTTCACTCACCCACCTGATATCTTTTCCCACCTTCTCATCATCACCAATTTCTTCTCTCTTTCTATGAGTACATTTTTTGTTGGTTGTAGATTTCACATATAAGTGACATCATACAATATTTATCTTTCTCTGACTTATTTTATGTAAGGGTTTATACCATGGTGCAAATGATGTGATTATCTTCTTTTTCACGGCCGAATACTATTCCATTGCATATATTAAGTCAGATAAACACTAACTATGTTTTGGGCATTGACAGATCCTCTCTGCAGCAGACCATGCAGTCTAGGTGTGTAGTAGGCTTTGCCATCTAGGATTGTGTAGTGACAGTTTATAATGTTCATAAGATGACAACATTGCCTAGCAACACTTTTCTTAGAACATACCCTTTCAGTAAGAGAATCGATAGTATACACCACAGTTTCTCTATCTGTTCATCTGTTCATGGACATAAGTAGTGTTCCTGTCTTGGCTACTGTAAGAAGTGCTACAGTGAACTTGGGGGCATAGATATCTATTTAAGATAGTGATTTTGGGCCTCCCCAGTGGC